GTGTGTTCAGCACACGATGCATGTGTGGGGGGAGGTGAGTTGGACCATGGTAAGTACAACACACGAACAAAGCGTTTTTGCCGACAGAGGATCGGGTCGCGATGTCGTGTGGCGATAGCTTCAGCCACTGCAGTTGTGCGACGATGTACTGATCTGGTTTGATTAGCCGGCGCCTTGTAAACAACGCGGAAACTTTGGCTGGGTATCACGTTGTGTGCAGTGTCAGCTAAAGGTTGTACTACAGAGCTGGTTCTCGTCCTCCTAGTTCCAGAAGCTAGCCGGGGTGGATTGTGTTCCTTCATTCTTTGGCCGAGTTGCCTAGTCGTGCGTCCGATGTATTCCGCTGCACAGCAGCAAGAGAATGAGTAAACTAACGTATTTTGGGCGTGGACAGGCACTCTATCCTTGAGATTAAAGGGGCACAAACGATTGCTGGTGAACCAGGTTCGGAGTTTTGCGGCCGTGAAAACTTTTTTCAGACTGGTGGAAAGTCTTCTGTTCAGTAGATCGGCTGATATATCTCCCTTAAACGGGAGGCTAATGTAAACTGGTTTCCTTCCAGCTGTCGCTGTGATGGTGTTTGCTTCCTCAAATGCTTTGTAATAAAATTGTCGGGGAATCCATTGCCTCTCAGGACGTTGGTGAGAGTTCGAAATTCTTGTTCCAGCGCATCGTCAGATCATATTTTCTTCGCTCTGTCAGTTAGGCTATGGATCAGGTTCCGTTTCTGCTTTAGTGACACGAAGCTGCTAAAGTTATTGTATTGACCGGACCAAGTAGGTTTTCGGTAAACCGATCGTTTCAGTGTACCATCGTGACGTCGTTGAAGGCCAACATCTAGAAAGTGGAAGTCGTCGGCTTCTCCTTCCGGAGTGAATTGAATGGCAACGTGAGCCTTATTGAGCTGTCGTTGGAGCGATTCCAATTCGTCTTTATTGTTAACTACAGCGAAGACGTCTACATATCGGCAGTAATGGTGCGTATCCTCTATGTTAGCCTTTAGGGACCACTTTCAAGTTTACTTAAATTGACGGCGTTGCCATGGGCTCACCACTGGACCCAATGCTAGCCGACCCGATTATGACGAGCACTTCTAGCATTATGCGTGATCCAACAGGACTGCAAAATATGCATTAAACTCTGCGGTTGTCTACAGTTTTCACGACAGGAAATTGTCTAGTCACAATAACCACGCCGGGTGTTTCTAAACGTCGTTCTCAGCAGATTGTAGCTGTCATGCCACCCGAAGAAATTAAGGAGGGCTGAGATACTGCCATGTTGCAGAAGCCTAGACAAGAGCTGTCCGTAATTTAATGCCTTGATCACTGAGCCACCTCAAACTCAGCAGTGAGAAAGTCCTTGGCGGAGCAAAAGGGTTCGGCTAAGACCGCGATTTTTGTCTCCACTACTCACGACTGTTTTCGTCTTTCAGGCGTTGCTGGTCCTACCGTCTCTTCCCAACCTGACCTCATCAACTTGAAGCATCTCGTTGAGGCAAACCTTACTGTCCACACACAAAACCCAGTTATCAACGAAGTTAGAACCATCCACCAATTTTGGCACTGACATCTCAAGAACCCAGTCAATCGCCTTGATGATCAGTATCGCACTATTTGGCGTAGTGGTTCGAGCCCGACCTCCGCCTCTCGACTTCCCCTGTCTAGGCTTGGGCAACCTGGCAGTATCCAAGCCCTCGTGCTTCCTTCGTGTGGCATGGCAGCTAGGCACCGAAAGGGTGTTACAGCTGACTGGTCAACTTGCGCCGTTTAACTTATTAAGAGCAAATTGAAAAATATTATGATAAAGAGGTTGTGTGGAAGTTTATGCTGACTGTCTGTCACAAGCCATGGGACACAAGAAAATACGACAATTTATGTAACATGAACAAAAGGATTCTCTATCTATCCTAAAGTATCCACGTATCTTGTTGGGCAGCGTCTGATCTATCTCTCCTTAGTACGGCTGGTTCCGGGCTCACTACCTACTCCATTTATTTCGACTGTGGAATGTAGGTATATGTAGGTATGAGAACCCGAATTTAGTAATTTTGTACTAGCCGATTTCACATGGCATCAGGGGCTTTGTTTTGGTCAGGCTAAATGAATGTACTTTGCATCCATACATTAGCACTATTACACCTTTCTGTCCATTGTTGGTGTGAGCTTATTTCACTTTGTTTCGTTCACTCAGCCGCAGAGTTTGACTGCCTCTCAAAGTTGTTCGGACATACTCTCCGGTGGTACCGCACCCACTGCAACGGAAACTCGTCGGAAATCGAAAAAGTATGTGTCTTGCAATTTGGTTTACTTTTATATGTTCCCATTTGTTTTCTAATCTCTACCCTATTTCACATATGAATGCTCGTAGAATGCGGATGGGTGCATGTCTCTCTTGGTTACTCGAAGGGCCATGAGCAAAGCAGTGTAATTAAACATTTTGGTGGCAAAATGTAAACTCATCAGCAAAACAGAGCTTGAAGCATATAAGATTCAGTGGCTACCAGTTTGATCCAGATATCTTCTAGGTCCGGACATGCAGGGATCCGTTTCGCCAAAAAAGTCCATACAGAATGATTTCGATAAGAAAAGATTAATCTGCCTCACTCGAGTGCATATTCTCAGCCCGAACGTTTACAATGTTTACCAAAAAAATCCACATAAGGTGATCAACGTTCTACACAAAACTGGCTGAAAATTCCAGGATAGGATTTGAATTGATTTCCGGCCGCTTACCCCAACCACTTCATTGAACTCTTATGGTGAACTCATCATGCCAGCTGCTTATACTGGTAATTATACGGTCCTTGGGGTGTACCGACCGTGTACATCGTATTCGCCCAGTGTTTTACTATTTTGTATTGCACTGTCCGGCTAAAATATTTCGTTTGAAGTCGAAACAGACATGCACCCATCTGCCTTACCCAGCGTGATAAACCTATTCCTGGATCCTCCAAAAAATGATGTGAACTGATCTCGGACCTCCGTTTATGTTAGCTGGTTCAGTCTCTTTATCTAACCAAAATAACTGCTTGTCACCCCTAGTACCCAGTGCATCCAGATGGTTACACTTTTCTCTCCACATTGAACTTTTATTATCCATCGTATGATCGGTTCCCTTAGACTGCAATAACCGCCACAATATGAAAGGACCACCCTTACCGAATTCTCACACTCATTTTCCACAGCACTGTGGCAGTAGGATGCAACCGTGGAGTTCTGTTTTTTCTAGACTTATTCCAGTGACGCAATGGCGCTGTCAACCAAATCCAGTCGGCTCTTTCGAAGGCTACATGGTGTTTGTCCTTGGGTAGTAGGTTGCCTAGACGGATAAGCATTGTGAACTATACTTCATTGTGAACCGTGATGACTGAACTGATATCCAACCATTATCGCTAACAACCTGTTGGACTTCAACGTGGGATGTTACACTGTGCTCGTCAAACGTTATGTGCTTGCAGAGAAATCTGGTTTCTGTTTTACGTCAACCACCGCTAACTCAGCTGTTGATAAAAAGGTGGCATTTTACGTGCCACGGATTCGTTAAGACCTTCCACACTCCATCCGTTAATTTACCAAAAGTGAAATGACTCATATTTTGATTCATTTTCCCTAGCACACTGTACAATGTGAACTACCCTAGTCGGAAACCCAAACGAACGTAAATTTTCGAATGTTCCCTGGTTAGAAGACAACTGAATTTGAGACTGGTCTTCGTCTTCTAATTTTTGTTACTTTAGTAATCGTTACATCACAAGTTTCTTTCATATCAATCTGTCCAATCGGTTTGTTATGATCTATGGGAACATCTGTTTAATCAATACTGTAAAAAGACGCAGTGACGAGATCTCAGGTTTTAAAAATGTCTAACGGAAATTTACAATATATATATATATATATATATATACTGTATAGTATATAGGACATAGAAACGGAGTTTTAAGGATGCTTCTCAAACCAGGTCCTGTGTGATTAGATGTGGAGTGAGCTCAGTTGCATGGATCAATAGCGCATACCCTTGTAGTGTTCTGAGAAGTATTTTGTCACGAAAAGCCAGCAGTTTCCACTTTTGGTTGCGAAGCAGAATCTTGGATGCCTGGGAAGACTCGACTATGTGACTGGTTTCAAAGTCATGTTACTTTATTGATTGCCTTGACTTATACATCACCTGTCATGAACTTTGCTCTATTAGCTGTATGCCTCGTAGCAAATTTGTTGGAAAGTGTTCGGATGCTCATCAAGATAGGTCTGTCCATTCTGCCTATGAATTTTAGGCTACAACTTTAGTGTTGGTGACGTGTGTGTGATAGATCATTTAAGCGTGTTATCTTGAATTTAGTTTGGTTGTATAGAAGTGGAATAACTGAGTGGCCAAAGTTATGCGTTTTTATGGAAGATTTCAGTCTGTACCTGGTGTTGTTCACCACGTTGTCTCCCTTAAATATTGGTCTTTTTTGGGCTGGTGCTAATCAGATCGGATGGCATGCTCGGGTTACTGTGTTGATTGGTCAACTTCTCCAGGTAGCCACTGAAAAGCTCTTTGTTACGTATCAACGGGACGTGCACTTTTACGCTCGACTTGAGAAGAAGCGCATACATCCCCAGCGACAACGCTACCGACTACTGAGGTGAAACTGTTAGTCACTCCAATTAGATCAACGGCTGGCCGGTCGTTGTAAGATCCCATTCAAATGTCGAACCAGTTAATGTTCTGGAAATGCGGAACCTTCTGTTCGATCTAACCTTATGAGGCACTGATTTGAAGTTTCACAACTGTTACACTGACCTTCGGCTTACTGTTCCGGTTATTATATGTCGAAAGGCACGGGATTTTGAGGCAGTTGTTTATGGGGACAAAGGAAATTCATCGCAGCTCTATTTATGAAGCAGTTACAGACTATATACAGGCCACGCTAGAATCTTCGTAATGTAGTTAGCACCCGGCCGCCCTCTCATTTGTACCATCACTTCTAGCCACGGATGATAACTCCGCTAATCGGATAACAACTTAGTGAGAACTTCTCCATGCTGGTAGGAAAGGTCTTCCACTCAAAGGTACCCTCTAAGCCTTCAAAAGCCCGTTCATCCTACCATTTCTATGGTCCGCGATGGACCACCTTTTGTAGGCCCTCACTGTACGGTTTTAACCCCGTTTGAGTCCTGAATTTCTTTACGAATGGTGAGCGAAACGACCGAACCCATTTCTCGCTTCAGTTTTTTGGAAGATCGACTATTCCGCACAAGACTATCTCATGCCGAACTCCTCGTCAGACAAAAGCTGTTGGACCGTGTGGATGAGTATTCGACCATCGAAAGTGTCAATATATTTATCGGAACTTGGAATGTTAACGGGCGACAGGACTCAAATGTCAGTTTGGATGACTGGCTACTACCCCCAAACGACCAACCACCAGCTGATATCTATGTCTTTGGGTGAGTGCACCACAATCAATTAATTCAGCTCTGTCGGGCCAACCTTTTCTAGCCTACTCATGTCTTCATTTTTAATTGCCTTCCAGATTCCAGGAACTCGACCTCAGCCTGGGGTCGGTTGCCCTGAACAAAACTTCTCCAGCAGCCTTGGAAGACCGTTGGACCAAGCAGCTGGAGTCTGCTCTGGGTGGTTTGTTGCAAACCCCCTCAACCAAATCCACCAGTCGCAGTTGGCTTCGGTCCAACGACTCCCCAAATGGCTATCCTAGCCGGTGGGCTAAGCACACCGGAGGTGGTTATTACCGTCTAAGACGTGTTCGTCTGGCTGGAATTCTGTTGATTGTCTACATATCAGTCAAACTGTTCCGCCATTCTAATCCAACCGAAATGGTCACACAGCTTGTCCCAACGGGAGTATTCAACATGATGGTAAGCTTCACTTTCCAACATTTTGTTTATGTACTTTTACCACCTGCATAGTTTCTAAAACTAAGGTTTGTGGACGAAAAAGTCTCGTTTTGCAGCACAGACTGTCTATCTATGGGGTGCCTTATGGAAATAGCATTGTAGGTGTCATTCGTAAACGTCATGTCCCAGGGCCTTTTCATCTCTTAACTCTCCGCAACTAGGTTTAACCTGCGGAGGGGCCAGTGAAACGTTAGAAGCCGTTGAACCCATACTGTATCATCTGCCGGGTCCGTGTTTAATGGCCCTTGTTGGGTAACAAATTATTTGGCTATATTTGCCCAGAGTCGTCCATCTATTGAGGGGATGCACCGAGGTAAGGTCGCTATTTCATTCTAATAGCTATTTACTGGCTCAGACGAAGATCGAATGAGGGCTGCAGTGTATAGGCCCACCCTATAGGAACATGGCACCATCCCTCTTGCGCCATTTCAAATGCCCATCACCGATAACAAGGGCACCAACCCATCGGTGCACGAATAGTTCTGCCATCTCCCTCAGAGTAGCCACTACCTATCCACGCTAGTGGGACTAGAATAAGATGGTTGGAGTTTACTTATGGGGAATCCAACTAAAATTTACCGCGATTTCATCCACAGGAGTTTTCTGCACTCTCCATTATATTCAGACCGTCGTAGGTTGTATCCCGTGTCCAATCTGTCACGCTTTCGTTTAAATCTGACTTCACAGTGTAGCGACCCCCTCCCCTTCCCAAAAAAAGACAGGCACACGCAAGTCTGTCAGAGTGGTTCCTTACGTGGGCAGACGTTTCTACTAATAGAAGGCTCTTAGGGGACGACTTTTTCCATGTAACAGACAATATTCGGTCGCAAAATTAAGTTTAACTTAACAATCACTCCATCACCAATCGATTCGCTCGTTGATAGCTCTCTCGACAGGTGCGTTACGCAGGTTGCCTCAGACCATGATGCTCCGATATGTGTCTGCCAAACTGGTAGTGCCTCCGCGGATGATCGGGCTATGTCTGTTGTTTATGATTTTACTGATAGCACACTTTTTTGTGCCTACCTTTTATTGTTCCTTCTCGTTAATTCGGACGAATTCCGTTCTTGTTCTCTTTGTTGTCTTTGTGTTTTCAATCCAGGGAAACAAAGGTGGGGTCGGCCTACGCCTGACAATATTCAACACTGCCTTGTGCTTTGTCAACTGCCATCTAGCAGCAGGAGAGGCCAATTTAGAGCGTCGTAATCAAGATTTTCAAGAAATTAAACGGAAAATGATATTTGGTCGTCAGTCCGATGCTGAGAACCCGAACCGGATCGATCAGCTGACTATTCATGACCATGAGTTAGTAAATTGTGATTATATCTGTCCACTATGTCTTCACAGTTCATTGGTTGTGATAAACTGCTATCACGAGTGTACGCGTCACTGTTACTCTACACAGGACCTTAATTCAGTTGGAAACAGTTCAACAAATCATCCTTCAAGGAGGTTCGATAGATGCACTGCTTGTCAAACCCTTCTGAAGACGTGCACAATATCGTTTACGTATGCTGATGTGGTTTCATGGAAGTAAAAACTTTCGACATCAGGTGAAGTCGTTCGCTTTTTAGAGATCCTCACTCCTTGGGCTCCAAGAGTAAAGTGATGCAACCGTTACGCCTGCCGGAGAGATCTTCCATTGGTTGGAATGCACATGGCTTACACAGTTACCAAGCCGTGGAAGCCTATGAAAAAAACCGAGACATTCCATTTTTGGAGTTTCAGAGATATAGGACGGAAAATCCTAAATTAAAACTTTGTATTTTAAAGATACAAAACACATACCGAAAAAGAGTTTCTGATATTATAAAGTAGTTTATGTATACGTACAATGTGTCCTTCACACGATCCAACTCCACTCATTTACCTCAGGATTTGAATTCTACCCCTAGGATTGCGGTTTCTCGGATAATTTACTGCACTACAGCTCTAGCGACAAAAGTTGATATAGTTGGGAAGCGTTAGAATCCTGGAGAACCTGTCTAATATGATAAACATTCCACTCCGATCAGAAGTATGGGAATAGAATATGCAACGAATATTCAACAGCAGTACCTTTTGACCTCGAGTGGGCGCTCAGGAGCAGTATTTCCTGTCTTGTGCACGATGATGGCTAGCTCGTTCATATTCTAGTTAACGGCTTTCATGCGTGCGGCTCTTAAAGCCACGAATAGGCCCGTCTAGCCTGTAGGTTGCAAAGTCTTTTTAATAACTGAAGAAGGGGTCCACTTTTTAGGTTCCCCGGAGAAACTCTGAAATTTCCTCCGGAAGAAGGCCTGATCTGTGTCCACATAGCTAGTTCGGAAAGGTGAACAATCGAAAATACAATCCACTGTGATTAATCTGGCTGCATAGTTGTTCACCAGTAGGTAGGCTTCCAAGTACTATACTATACTATACTATACTATACTACCTCTAAACCCAGTACCACTAGGGAACAATTGATGATTAGCGGCAACCTCTACAAGACCTTGGTGCAGTCGTTACACTTAATTTTGTAGACACAGTCCCTGGTTCTGTTTGCCGGGAGGCGATCTTTCAATTACACTAGTGTGGAGCGCAGAATGTTTCCCCTCCGGAAAGCTACTTTTATGTTAACCGTGTTTAGGGTCCTTCGAATGACCTCCGATAGAATAAAAGCAATCACGTTCCGTTACCAACACCCTTCGCAAATAGTACCTATCCAAACTACCTGGATATCCACCTCCACGAAGTTTGTCCTTTACTTCAATTTGGGCCGCCGATCAGTTTCTGTACCCAGGACCCTAACACGCCCATACATTAGTGAGGCTGTACTGGCGAATACCGACTTCGGATGGCCAGACGAGCAGTTAAAAACTGTGCCCAGTCTAACCCATCAATGCACGATTTCGGCAACCACACTAGTCGACAAGAGCCGTTAATTGACTTTCAACACTCATCTAAAATGTTAATCCATAGAGGCCTTACTGATTGGTTCTCCGTCTGCCTTAAAACCTGGCCAACTTGGTAACCTACTCACTTGACCTGATGAAGCTTTTGTGTCAAAAGCGAAACGTTGCCCAGTTGAAAAGTACCGATTGTTTACCAAGCCCTTCTGAAGCGAGATAGTCTGTTTGCTTTACATTCTACTGCAGAACGTCAAACTGGTATCGATTATTGGTGACTCAACCGGTCACACAGTGTATAAAGTACTTCCAAAACCAATGCAAGCAAGAGCCTCATATAAAAAGCGCGAAACCTTACTGGTTCGATTACCTGTTTGGGGCTTTGTAATCTGTGAGCAAGCCTCCTTCCATCTTGATATATGACCAAATCTTTATCATGCACTTTGTTGTGCACAATTTCCGTTTACACTTGCGTTCTGCATCTCTGTTTGCATCTTCTCTGCGCTCCTATCCGTTCAGCATTGTCTTCGTTTTTGGCGATCTGAATTATCGAATAAGCGGCTTGGATTCGACTACCGTTCGAAATCTGGTGGACCGCAAAGACTATGATCACATATTGGGTTACGATGAGGTAAGTGGTTTGACTCTCTATCCGCTGTGCTGTATGTACCATTAAAACTATCTACCAGAAGCTTCCCCAGCTTCCTCCCATCATGTTCGTTGCGTGGCTATTCTGCCGTGGTTCTCTCTCATAGCCTTCATACTGGATTTGAAGCAGCATACTCGGCACTCTGCCGTAATATTATACACGTATTTGGTCTTATCCGTTGGTATGCATCCGGACTGATAGGGTCCCCTTGATACGTTCCGTCATGTGATTGGAGTGCATTATGGGGTAACCGTAAATTTATTGGTTCGATGTCTGGATCACTTGTTTCTTTCTGTTTCGGACAGTGATCAAGTAGCAGATGTATTTAATCACTGACGATGAAATTAGTTTCTCTAATGAACAGCATCCATGTTTCGAACGCTCATAATTTTCCTAAGATTCGTGACGATACCGTGCCCACAGTTCTTTGAACTTCCCTCGTTTGCCGTTTTCTTTAATCGAGCATACAATTCTCTGAGGTCAATCAGTTCCTGCATCATTGACTTCTGGACTCTTTCTGTCCACTTTTTGTCGTTCACTGCAGCTGATCAAGCAGTGTGTGAGCAACCGGGCTTTTGGCTCATTCCGGGAGGGACCCATCACTTTCGCCCCTACCTACAAGTTTGATATGAATACCAATACATATGACTCCAGGTAAGCCGTTGAACCAGATTCCTTCACAATCACCGACCAGCTAGGGGTGGTGTATGGTAGATAGTTGCTTGTCAAGACGATAGCGATTACAGGAGCCTTTTTTAGTATGTGTTATTGGTCTATCTTTTTGTGATGCTGAGGCGTCCCAGTACGTTTCTCAATTTTTCCCGATGAAATTCTCGGTATGGGCCGACTAGAAAAGTGAAATATTTCTGTAGATTATCCAGTTTAAATGTCCTGCCCGATGCTTTAGGTTGGTGCCGAAGGCCACCTTAGCTTAACATAGGATTTCCATTCAGACTTCAAAGATCCTGTTTGGGGTGTCCGTAGAATACCATCAAGAAATCTCAATGGTACCGATACGTTTTAACAGGATTAAGTTACAAACGAACAGGAGACTAAATGTAGCGAGTGGGATTGATTAGTTCAGTTAACACACGACAGATTCACCATACGTTTTTTCAGCGATAACTTATCTGAGATTTTGGACGATGTAACGGAGCTTTTTCATGCCACTTTAGACACATCTGTCTCGCTCCAAAGGAATACAGACTCCCTCATATGAAGACCCCTGTCTTCCTATGCGGGTAAATGAGCTCATACTTGGTTCGTTTTCAAATTGGATTGTACCATTTGAAAAAACAATGATTAGGGTGCTCGAAATAATTCGTACCAGAACAGTGTCCGTTTCTCGGCCATGCGGGGCTCGGTATAATCCCAGGTTTTTTATTTCATATCGATCTGATTTTTGGCATGATTGCTAAGTGTTCTGTCCAAGAAGCCTACTTGCGTTGTTTTTCCTAGCATATCGCTGATAACTGCTTGCTTACTTCAGCTGCTCTGGATAGACTATTGTCATCACGTATTTGGATGCCAGGAATGAGGATTAGCGGCACAATAGGGGGAGGTAAACGCTCCCGCATCCCTAGATTTTAGAAGTTCCGCTTCTCAACTTAAGGATGACCCGGCTGTGAAGTTCCAGTTTGTCTGTTCCCGACGACCCTATCACGTGAACCGTTTTCAATGGCTTTACAGGGGGCACGTTGATGTTGCAGGTGACAGGCGGTTTACTCATCGAACTCCAAAGTGTCCGCTCAGTGTCCTTTGCGGTGCCCCAGCTCATGAAGTGACTGCTTGCTTTAGAGCCGAGTTTCCAGTCATTATCCCTACATAAGGGCGGGGTTAAACGGTGGAAATTCAAGTGTCCAACTTCACAGTGAGGGCTTCCGTACACACGCTTGATGAACACAGCTCACAATGAAGCCTTCACCAGTCTGCAACATAGACAGCTGTCAGTCAACAACCGCATGTATAACACAACAGCTATTCCTTCCATCAGCTGACATATACCGTCCTTCCGAACAGCTTTGTAGGATTTAAACACTCCTTGAAATGATTGGAATAAAAACTAAATCTGAAAGGCCTTGCAGGAAAAATAAGTCGCGCAATTTCACCTGTTATATTCTTGCCGTGTGGATTTTGGGTTCGTTGGTAGGTTTAAAAAATCACATCAATTGACGCTCGCCTTCTGCCAAGTTTCAAGAACGCATTTTTATTTGGATGTCGTGCCATGCCCTCACTTCAGTACTACTTAGTCGTCTTCTTCGGGAAAACTCAATGGTGTAGTTGGTCTGTGATGTCGATATTTCTCATTCGTTTCTGTGATGTATCGTATTACATGTGTCTCATGCCAATTATTCTCAGCGGTCGAGTGCATTATGGTTTTGTAAACATGCCTGTCTGCTTTCATGTCGCCTCCACTGGTTGCTTATACATGGCCTCGATTGCGCTGTGCATATCCTGACACATTGTCAGGCTCTCGGTGTGGTTGTTTCGATTATTGCTGATGGGTTGCCTAAAATGTAAGACAGACCATTAGTCGCCGCTTATCATTGGATGACTAGCCACTCACCACATGATATTGTTGCCGTCCTTAAACAGTTTAGTGATTCTGTACTTCGATAAGTGCATGCGCCAAGTCGATGGAGCCATGTAGATAGTTGTGAGCACTTGATTGCGGCGAATATGGATCTGAGCATGCAAATTAATTGTCTATTGTTTTTCACTGACTGATTACTCCTATCACTGTCAGGAGCGCAATCCTTTTATGCAATTATCCCCACGAATCCTCTTTCGGTACGTGTAAGCCAGCTGATGATTATGTAGCCAACTTGAAGCAAAGTTTTCTGTGGGGATTGCCTTGAAAGCAATTCTGACGGATGCATACCTTCCCTCCCTTCAACGCATTCCTTTTCTTCAACCTGGATGCATGCATCATTAGGGCTCAGCAGCCAAGTCCTCGCATGCCTCGTTCTCTATTATCTACCCTTTTGTATACCACACTACTAAGTACAGTGATTCCATCTGTCTCCTGAATCCATCGTCGTTTGTTTGTGTCAACTGCTTTGCTTGCTGTCTTCATAAACCGCAGCATCTCTGACGGAGTTAATACACACCCACTTATGAGCACCTGGTTGATTGTTCACTGGTTACTAACCTCATTTGTCGGATGTATACTACCTCCCGGTTATTGTAGCGTGCACACCTTGGGACTAAGTCTTCGAAAACTTCTGTTTCAATGGTCACCTGCTTAGTTGCCACAAAATGCTGCACCTTTTAACAATACGTGCTGGTGAGCCTTTGTGAGTAGTATTCAGATTACGCATTCTGATATTGGAGTCTTCGAACGAAATCGTCAATTTAACTAGCCAGTTTAAGCTCTCCCAATTCTAGCTTAAGGTAATTATTTATTATAAAAAGGTATTTGCAATACAATGAAAGCACCTGTTTGACAACGAGCTGGCTGCACTCAAAATAAGGGGAACGACTGGAATTTATTCGTCTCATGCCACCGGAGCACTAACCGAGTGTTGTTTTCATTTGGTGGTTATTGTCACAAATCAACATTCCTACGCAGACTTTTTAAACAGCTCTCTCGTTATGCAACATACTAACTGACTGACTTCAATTTTCCGTACCATTAGCTAAATTAGTGAACCAGTCGGATGTTTTTTCACGTCCATTTTAATTTTGCAAGACTGTTTGCTTTCGGGGCACCAAAGTCTCTGCATGTTCTTGGCGACTTAATAACGAATAATCGCAACTTAAAAAGCCATTCAGCTGTCGCGACCTTTCGGTGCCTAACTGCCATGCCACCAGAAGGAAGCACAAGGGCTGGGAAACTGACAGGTCGCCCAAGCCTGGGGAATTCGCGAGACAGAGGTTGCTTGGAACCACGGACCTTTCGGTCAGTAAATTTGCGTTCTATACACCGAGCCATATCGTCCCAAGAATTGCAGTACAATAGTTAGGAACTGTATCCCACACTAGACAAAGCCGTTGGCATTCTTTCGTGAGGTTTACTTGGTTTCTGTCAGGCGGGAGTTAGGTTTGGGATTCAGTCGAGGTCCCCGTCAACACTGATTTGATTCTTAAATGAGTGCCATTTACGTACAGTTTTGCGTTCAAGTATAAAATGCTGTTGGTGGACCCACGTCTGTCTGGTGAGCCCAAAGACGAATGAAACCGGTAGTAGGCTGTCAAGGAGTTTTCAGCAATCGTGTAGATTGTGTTGTCAAAAATCAAAGGGAACCTGATTTAACGAATTCGTTTGCTGGTGTTAACAGTATGACCTCTGCTTTCAATTACTGCAGTTTTTAGTCTTTCCACATAGTCAGGAAGATTTTCACCGGAACTTATTTTAAGGGCGTTCTAAACAATCTGTGGTAAACTGATTGATTACTAAAAGATGCGGCAGCCATTGATGGCGCGAGTATTTATTTGAGCATTATAGTCACTGAGATTGTTCATCAACCGGGGCTTTTAGGATGAGCTATCGTTTTGGGAATTCGGTTCATGCAGGCTAGTCTAGAAAATCCCGCACACACTGATCTTCCCTTAGTTTCATGTCTAGTGCAGCTAGATACACCTGGCTACTTATAGCAGATTTGCACTGACCAGTTTTGTTCTTCTTTCCACGTGCAAAATGAACTTGCGCCTTCTGCAGAACAGAAAGTCAATGAAGGTCAATCGGCGTCAGAATCCGTCTTTCTATTGCAGTCTTTCCAGCAGTAGCGTAACTCTTGAAATAGTTGTTCGGATGATTTTCTTTTATACTCTTAACCACTCTGGCTGCACGCATACAAGCATGTCAGCACTTTTCGATATGGTACGCAAATGAGTTCTGTTGTGCTCATCTTAATCTTAGTCTTGTGGGTTCATCTAATGTGCGCCAACCAAGGCCAGTCGCTTCGTTTCGTTGGTCATACTGTGTTCATTGTTGCTAACCTACCATCGTCCCCCATTTCATCATAATTGTGAACATTCGTCCGCCCTTATATGCTTGTTTTGCCTTAGCTCGCTTAGTATCCAGTTGTACGCCGGTTGTCTGCTATCAGGTTACATGAGTCACTTTCGGTCGTTGTACTAGTTCATTGCCTTGTGACCGGTCACTCTAACGCCTATGTCCTGATTATGGTCGGTCAGCAATGCCCCCCTGAAACATCCCATTTTAACTTCTTGGGTATGATCACCAGCTGTACATGACTTCCCTTTCCATGAGACCCTTTTTTATTGAGAATATCCAACGTTGATTTGGCGAAAAAAAAACTTTTAACAAAGTGAATGTTTTTTTCGCACCTTTTTGGTCATAACGAAGTTCAGCTTGATGCAACCACACTATTTAACCTTTTACTCTGTCAGTGAGAAAAACCGCATCCCCTCTTACTGTGACCGTGTTCTATGGTCTGGAAAACTCAGCGAACTACTGTGCTATCGATCTCATCCGTCTTTCACAATGAGTGATCACAGACCGGTTTCCAGCTACTTCAAAGTTGGAGTAAGTTGTTCGGACTGCTTGCGTCGCTGTCTGTTTGCATAATCTCTTCTTCGCCTTTCGGTGACAATCTGGACTACTTCGTAGGTGTTTGATGCATAGCTACAATCCCAGACATAACCAGGTTTTACCATCTATAATAAGGTAATCCACTTTCTTGAGAAAACCCCTATCGAAAAATTAATCCTCTTACAGGCTCTGGTATAAACACTGTCAGTCAGATTCCCATGTTGTGTCTTGCTGAACGGTAGTGCAACTCTCTATCGGTCCCTTGGCTTCCTGCTCCGCCCACTATGGTCTATCAAAAAGGCATGGTAGCTCTAGACAAAGGGAAATTACTACAACCGTATTTATAGGGTAGCCACAGAGTATTCCACAAGGTCGTGCCAGAATCTCCATGAGGGGGCGAGAAGCGTCGAATCAAAAGTGCTAGACTCGTATAGGCTGGCATTCTGACCAATCAAGGCATGCTTTCGTTTGGTCCGTGTCCCGCACGTGATACATCCGTTCAAATGATGTGATGTTCAGTTATAAGGGACGGCTGGCCTCCTGACAATTTCCTGTCCATCCATTCTCGTGCAAGGAACCGTGTGAGCATCAGCCAGAAAAGGACGACAATTCAACAAATTCCATTTGGCTGTAGCCTTTTTAACTTCACCTCCCCATGTGGTGGCCTGTTTCTCGAGTGATTTTTGTCGGCTAAGACTTTGAATAGGGCATTCATTCGCCTCGATGGGTGTAGGTTTGACTTGCCCCAGCCATTTTGACTTCGTTTACGTTATTCGCAAGTCCGCCACACTTAGCCGACCCCTGTTGTGCGTTTGAATCCGGAGATTTGAGCGCCGTGTGCGACATTGTCAAGTGAGTTACATTGTCTTAAGGACATACTTGATACTCTATGTTTCGCTCAACACGTGTTATCTTCGCTTGGAGCTGGATAGTCAAAATAGTAATAATGATAAATGACAATTCTCTTACCCATCAGTTCAACATGACTGGTGGTTATCCTACTGGTAGGATTAATCCGTCGCTGCAATCTATACAATCAGCCTTTGAACTTCTTTTTCATTGAGTCTGCTAAATTTCTTTCTCCAATGCGCTGTTACCTACCCCACCTCCCCGAATCATCGGTGATCGAAACTGTGGCAGCTACCGCTGTACGACAAGTACGCGGTTGTTACAGCTGACAATCATGATGATGATGACCAGTGATTGATCCCAGTTCAAACAAATAATGTGCCCGATTGTGTAGTGTCATAGATTCCCCACACACTTGAATAGTCCTCTATGGATGTATTCTTTTCGTACTCAGCTGCTCAAAGTTCCGAGACAGGCAATCAGAGTTTCTGTCGATAGTTACCAAAAAATCAACTAAATTTCCTCATAACCCACTCTTCCGAAGTTTCGCGCTTGTTCTACGTGCTATTTGTTTACAGTTCGATAAGCTTTAGACTGAAGATATTTCAAATGGTAAAGCACGAGCTTCTGACAGCAGGTTCATTTCTGATACCCTGACGTGATTATTCTTATGAAGGAGAACCTGATAATATTTTAGTTCGTGTGCTTCATTCGCATTGCATGTTAATTATCCCTGTAAAGGACGCCACAACCAGCCAGGTTTTTATACTGGCGTAAGGTTATCCACTAAATTCCAGTCGGCTTCTCTTCACGCAATGGCACCTCTGCACCCTAGCCCCAGTACCCTGTTACCATTGTTACCCCAATTGATAATTCCGATAAGTGGTTGTGATCACTGAATTCAGCCATATGTCAGATACTGAATTTTCTCAACTTCCTCCGTACTTAATTTAGTACAGATATTCTTTTACAGCTTAACCCTGACGTTTCCTATCTACTTCAGCTCCGTCGTGTCAACCGGAACTTGTTCCAAAACATCTATGAGGCGGTGATTCGGAGTCAAGATCTTGTTTATAACTTATCTTTACCACAAGCACAATTGGAAAGTCAGGACCTGGACTTTGGCCCAGTTAGGTTTTACGAAGTATCTCAGCGTACAGTAAAACTAACGAACACCGGCCTTACGGGTCTGCAATACGTATTCCTACGTGAAGGGATAACTGAATTCCCCTCCTGGCTGGCTGTCAGTCCGGAAACCATGCGAGTGGAAAAAGGTGGGTTTATTCTGAATGTCCGCTTCTTAACGGAATTTAAACTGGATCTTCGCCCTCCGCTAGCCCACATAACACAGCGTTTCCTCTTCCCTAGAAAACGTCCCCGGGTAATACCAAAACGTCTCCTCAGTGCAAGTATTTCTTCTCAGTGGACCTTACCGTCAGGTACCTCACTGCACACCTGCGCCATAGTCACGAAATCTTACTTACTTTCCTTCGACCGTTTCCTATATGAGTATGCAGTTATCTTTTCACCTGAATGAACACACAATATTCAATAAACTTGCGCATCCGTGACTGAGACGGTAAAACTCTTCAAAATTCCAAATGTCCCTAGGTGTGGGTATAACTTCTTCAGGACGCTTGTGGATTTCTGTCCAAATACTCGTTAGCAGTCAACGCATTTAACCCACGCATACTCGGCACGTTTATACACACTGATATGAGGAATTGATTTCTCTATTCTCCAAGTCATCCAGTGGGAATGTTTACTTCCTAAGGACATCTTAACTGTCATACTTACATTACACTTACTGATACTTATGTGAACTCCGACAGCTTCAATTAGCTATTATGTTGCTCTATGTGCGGAGTTCTGTCATTCTTCAACACCAGATTTGTACTTAACTTCGTTCAGAATATCAGTTTCGTTTCGTTTCATAAAAATCATCAGTTACGAGATCCAGCCAAATGCACGACAGTCGCTGCTTGCAGTCGCCGCATTGCAAGTGTTATGACAAGATTTGTATTTTACAACCAGTGACAGTCAATAGATCGATGTATGACATCTAAATACCTCAACTCTGTCTCATAATGAAGAGGCGTATTGTAAATTGCTGGCTTTCTGAAGAGTAGTAATTCCCATCGCGTACTATAATCGTCTTTGTTTCGTGTTTAGCTTCACTTTTTCCAAGGTATATCGTTCCTTCTCCCTAATCTACATTAGGGACGGCTTCCAGATGTCACCACGTGTTTTCACTGAAATAGCTGGTCATCGGAAGAAAGGTCAGGTCGCTTCTGGAGTTTCATTATCCTCAATCCTCTACATGTGTGGCGACTGAACGAGTGGTGTTGTTATTCTAATCGGTACGGTCGTTGTTCCGGATCTTGGGAACCGATTACGTCTCGGCCCTTTCGGTTGCGTTTCTCATGCCCTCTCAAAATACCCTTGTTAACTCGGGAGGATGTTGTGTAGTTTATCCGTAGAGTGGCAAGTAGATGTGTCCCCACTCAAAAGTCAAGGCAAATAGACCTCAAAAATAAGCACTTTTGCATTGGTTCTGGTTTATAAACATATGGATACATGGCAGTGCAGTTATATTTTAGTTCGACTGGTTGGTCATGGTAAAAGACCGGGTGGGGTTACATTGGTTCGTTTTGGAGCCTAGCTTTAGTCCATAGATCAAAGTGAATAACAGGGGACACTAGATAGAAAACAGTCTATTCAGCTTATTAGCCCTTTTTAGGAGACCTCCCTCTGTGTACTGTGCTCTATTTCTTTCTTTATTCAACGGCATGTATTTAGTTTTCATGGAAATTTTACGAACATGTTCAGGGGGAGTCTAGAAATGCCCTCAGATGCGAGAATCCCTGTAATCTGATGCGTTCATATATTGGTCGTCAGTCATGACGAACTGGGTCTTCTTGTACTACCTGGCTTAGTACGACGAAACAATGTAATTTGCCTCTAAGATACTTCCTAGTATGACAGCACACATAATGACAATCACTAGTAACTCCAAAATTCCTGAGTTACCGCGCGCCGCTTCGCATCGTTTTCCGGTTTCACTACATACTGCAACTGTGGTACCTTTCAGCGAATAATGTTGTGTGCGTATCCTAGCAGGAATTATTGATCTAGTCAAATCAAGCCAGCCGATGTTTCTAAATAGCTTCTCAGCAATACTCTCGATATCAGCCAGTTGACTTTTCAGTCAATTAGCAAATCAGTATCAGTGATATAGGATGACATTGGAAAATCCGTACTGTCAGAGTCAACTTCTCTGGAGTCCTGTTGTATGGGTGATACAATACACTAATGTCGCGAACCTGTTTCGCTAAGTTCAGTTCCTGTGATCTCCTGCTCATCCGTTGTTCCTCTTTACAGGCGGATCGGTCCAAATTAGCATCGAGATTTTTGTGAAGCCGGAAATTGTGGCGGATCTTAATAGCGGTAAAACCGCTCTATCTGCCATTGTTGTGCTACGTCTTCTGGGAGGAAAAGACTATTTCATCTCTGTAAGCGGGCAGTTTATCCCGACCTGTTTTGGCCTACCACTCAGTCTTCTGCTTTCGCTGGACTCCTTACCTGTCGCCTTTATGCCAATTAACGAGTTGCAGGACAAAGTAAGTAAAAACGATCATCGGGTTCATAGTTGTTCATTCACTGATATTGTACGAAACATTCAACTTTCCGCTGAAATGTGTACTATTTCCGACTGGTTGCGCCAATCGACTGCCACACCTCAACCTACCAGCATTTCGAAGATAAGTGGTGTGTGATAGGTCGTTCCAGAGTACCCTAACTTTCGGGGAGGGGCACTTGGTAAGAGAGAAGCTCTTTTCTCCATAGGCTACTCTGTCTCCCTATTATTAACAATAGTACCGCCATTACCAGAACACCGGATGTGCTCACGAGTCAAAGAGGGATGCGCGAACTGACAGCATTTTTCGGGTCGATTGATGCGAAATTCCTCTGTCAACCTGATGCATTAATTTCTATTCGCATTACTGTCGTCTGAACAGTCTTCTTCCTGTCCTGGCGCAATTATTCTGGTTGTCCCACCCCAAAGAGGTGAACCACCGACAGGCTCTCCATACAGCCTGAGTTGCCAACATTCTCCTTAACAGTAACTCAATAGCCTTCATTATTTGACTGCGTGCACAGTTCCCTATGAGTGGTTCCGTTCTGAAGCACTTTATACATGATGATGGGCAGGTACATTAGTTGCTGAATTTAAAAAGCAATCAGTGTCGCGATCAGCTGTTAGCAACATTGGGAACTTTAATGCTCCAAATTGCGAAGCTGCTAATTTGCGTTAAATTCCTCATAGAAGGTTTGAAGTTGTACTCGTGGTTTTCGCGCTACTAATTTGGTGTCCCATGGCAGTTGTCTGTGTATCTGTTTTGCTCCACACCTGGCTGTGTGGCCGTTAATAGAATCATCCACGTTTCGTACGACAAACTGAACAAATAGTTTGGCCTGAGTTCAATCACAAAATCTGATGAGCATATCGCACCCTGGCTTGTTTCGAATTCAATTCATTACGTAATATAACAGTGTTTAGAAAGTCTAGAAACTCCTGGGCCGACTCCTACGAGATCCGCTAATTTTGGGGCTCATTGGATTGACCAAATCCCCGAATTCTCAGTGTTATTTCGTATAGGGATGCCGAATCAACGGAATGCTCAAATAATTATTTGCAAGTCAAGTTCGTTTTATCTCGAGACGGCTGGGTTTCTCTTTTATATCGTTCTTCAGTTGCCTGTGCCTCACAGGCTGCCTTGTTGGAGTGATATCCAGAATTTCGATGTTTTTTATGTGAATAGGTTTACCGGATGAGCCCTAAAAATGACCAGGAGTAACCGTCAACCATATAACCAGTGTGGTGTCAAGAAAATCACTTTTTATACATTTTTAAACTTAACATGAGACGGCTCTTCGGTTGAAGGACATAAGAAACGGGAGATTCAGTCGAGCCTCCAGTTGTCCCCAATTTGGTTGATAAATTATTGTGTACCTGTTCAATTATTCTCGTTTTATCTCACTGACCGAGAAGGCCGAACTCTTGGGTGGAACCTTCAATGACTTTTTCCAGTGAATTTATGTGTTGGTCGATTTTTTTGCTTGCACGTAGGAATGCCTTCGTAAACAGTTGAATCATATATTTTGCTTCTCTCAAAATGTCTATCAGTTACACAACTCTTGTACAAAGAGGATGATCTCTTCGTAGTGCAAACGGAACATGAAGACCTTTTCTATCTTCGAAGCGTTTATTGTGCACTGCGTATATTTCAAACAGATAAAGCTCGTGATACAATTTGCTGAGCCCATTCATTCTGCCTCAAAGCACCTCGCGGAAGTGAGATTTCGAAAATTTGTTTTCTTGGAAGTATAGTTAGATGGTTCAGTTCGTACATTATCAGGCGCTACCGTGCAACTATAATGTTGACAAGCCAAGTACCTAAACAGATCGCGATGCAAGCGACATGGATGGCTGTAAGGTTCTCCGTGAAAAGAGGTTATGATAGACAGAGGGATGTGTTGCGAGCTGCTGACGAGAAATTCAGCGTCCTCAGTTCCTCTTGTTGATGAGGATGCCTGTGTCCTTCGCTGGTTAGGGTTTATATGCAGCTCGATCCCACCTTGGAGTATGTGAAAACAGGACGGTGATCTCACTGTAGTTTTATGAAGCCGTTGTGATTTATCCAAACGAATCGTTAGCCCAAATTGACCATACTTAGGTATCAAGGAACTATGCTAGGGACTGTCACAGATATCAGAGAGAAACGATTATCTATTCTAATTCATCAGTGTTCTGACACCAGCAGTCGTAAGAGCAATATGTTCCCCTGATGGCGCTCCAATCTCAGCAAACACAATATGATTGGAAGATCAAATGTTCCCCTGATGGCGCGCCAATCTCAGCAAACACAATATGATTGCTTTGCTCCACAACCTTCTTTGTTCGGAATCCGTTATTTTCATACATGCTTTGAAAACCAAATAGGTCATTCATGAATGCGCACTTCCTGGTACTCTCGTGGGGATTCACCAATCGTCGGTCCGCATATCACAGGTCTGCTAGTATGTCCTGGTTTTTGGGCTGTCGTCTGTTTTGCTCCACAGTTTGACGTATCCCTGTGCCTACTACCTTCCTTTGACAGATTCAGTCCGCACGCGTTGGAGACTGGCAAGAGGCTGAACCGAGTGTTCTCGCTCGCACGGAAAAGCCACCGTTCCATGTTCCAAAAGAAATCTTCCGGCTCGTCGATTATATCAGCCAACATTTGGAAGAAGTAAGTTGACCTAGCTTTTGGTTCTTTAAAATATCTCCTTTGGCTTATCAAGTCTTAGCTTTGTTACCCTGAGTTTCTTGGGCAGCCAGACTGACTCTATCGTGTTGCCGGTCCGACTGCAGAACTATAGACCATTCTCCCACATTCTTTATCCACATTTGTGTGCATTTATGGGGTATACCGGTCGTTTATATTGAAATCGAGTTGAACTAAGGATCTTTTGTTGACGCTAAACTATACACATTAATTAAAGGCAGGTGTGTCTTTTTTTCAATAAAATTCTCAATCAATCAAAACTATGTGGTCATGACAACAGTAGCATCGCTGTGATCTTCATTCAAGTTAAAGCTGTCATCCTGGGCGAGTCTTGCAGCCATATTGGTCGGGGCTGGTGATTTTGTTGAAGTGTCCGCTCGGTTTCAGTGCTTTGTAACCTAGGACTTCTGCTAACTCTCGTTCGATTACTGATCTCGCCACTGAATATTTTCAATGTTTCTCCCCTGTTGAGAAAACTTCATCTCTAATCCCTAATTTAGCCGGAATTATTTCGCCAAACGGGTCAATACGGTGAAGTGGGTGTCATTCGTGACCTACTGGATACAACTCTCTCAAATATTACGTTTCGTGAGTTTCATTCTGTTCGATGCATTTGCAGCAGCAATGCATGCATATTAGTCCTCTGATCTCAAATTTCTCGAGGGTCAATTATATAACTCTGTTTCGTTGCACTCTTTCAGGGCGAGTTGTTACTAGCAACATGTGTTTGTCCTTGTAGCTTTACAAATCACAATAACATATCCACTACCACAGTGTACACACGTCATTAAATCTGTCAAATATTCCTTCGGAAAAAGCAGTCCTTGTTCAAGCTTATGTCTACGATATAGTCAATGCTTACCCCTTTAGGGCGAAACCCAAATAAAAGATTAAACTGGCGATTTATAGGCACTGACTGGCGATGCAATCGTCTCCATAAACCTATCCCTATTGTTTTCTAAACGCGCTCTTAACCCGAGTTCTTTACCGTCCGTTTGTAGACCCCCTAATCCACTGTATTCTTTATCCGCACATTGTTGACAGTGGTGTGCTATGGTTACCAATTGTACGTGTTCGAAGGAATTATATCCACCTGAAAATAGTAATGTTTGCACTGACTGCTAACGTCAGAAAATTTCAGTATGAAAATATTAACCCAACTAACAAACCTCTTACTTCTCCGTAGCAGCAACAATCCGCTGCTTAACTCTTATGATGTTATATTTTGAGTGGATACACTCCATTTGACACTAGGTAAAACCTCTTGAAGAAAACTGTTATATTATTCAGGTGAAATCGCTCACTACTTTTTGTAGACACCTCTCGAAACAGGTCAGGTTGATTTTCGTGTTACTCCACCTTTGCATACAGTCCCAGTAGACTGTGTACGTTAGTCGAGACGTCTTTGTCGCATGTACCGCCAGTTCAACACTCGTTCCCTGAATTATCATAACCATTTTATGACATTCGAGATAAGAATATCACACTTGACACGGACTCAAATAAACGCGTTCCTAACATTCTGTACTGCTTTCAGTTTCTCCCATCCCCATTATAAGTGCCAGCCCACCATAACTATCAGTTCGTTTATCTATTTTGTAGCTGAAACCATCTCTGTCCATGCGGCTGCATTTTGCTTGCTCATCTTTCTCAACACAATGCCAGAACCAGTAATTCCACCGGCCTTTCATGCCACATGTCTGGATGCATGTGGTAACTTGGCTTCTGCCGTGAAAGTGAGTTTTACCACCGCTACTCTGATTGTTACTGTGACCAGAATCAGTGAGCGTGGACACCATGGTCTAAATCATGTCAACGTAGTGAAGTTTCTTGTGAGTGTTTCGTCCAGTCACATGAAAATCCTCTGACAGATCCGCCTTACCGCTTATCTCATACTGTGGGTGCTGGTTGGGTGAACTGCACCTAAAACAGACAAACCAAGTGAGGAACCTTCGAGGAATTTGGTAAAAAGTGATCCACCAATGTGACTTGTTCTAGAGAAATATAATATGGAATAACGGCCAGATCGCAGAGCGGAATATTTCATCTTAGTTTATTTAGCCCATTGCTCTTTTTGGTGACACGGTTACCAGTTTTTCTGATACTGTGACGCCCGAATTCCACATACAAGACGCGAATCCGAGAGCAGCAAGTAGGAATCACACCCTTACATTGTATGAGATATTTGAGCAGTGCCACTCACACCGCCGACTAACAATCTGCTTCTTTAGACTTCAGTCGGGCCTTGGAATCTGTCGATGAAATAACTGTCCTATAGATACTTGAGCAAGATGGAATGCCCTTAGGAATATACTTCGTGCTCCATAGAGCGAAACTCTTGGTTTTGTGAGTTTTCACTGAATTGTTGAATGATTTTCTAGAAACTTGTAGGATTTGTCAGGGCGGAATTCGATCTCACTTTTTGTTTAATTTTATGTTATAATCATGAACATTGAATCGTAAATCTAGGAATCGAATTGGCACACAAGAAAAGAATAATGAACCTGAAGTATGGGAATGTTACCCTTTTTATCATTCAGCAATCGTCAAGTTCATACAACCTGCCCTAGATATAGTGTTGGTGTGACATTTGCTTTGTCTTCAAAGTGAAGTCTTGTCCTATTGTAGTAACGATATTTTCCTCAGCTTAGTTATCAGTTTTGAGTCTCCCAAGCTAGTATGCACGTCAAAACAACCACCAAAGGTGCACAAGGTATATTAACGTCCAGAACAAAGTCAGAGACACTTGTACAGCGCCTCATTCATATAGCGTAAGCTGCGGCAACATTCTAGGGATTCTGACGCCTTCTGGATGTGACATTGGCAACCACATTCGGCCAATACTGGGTCACGATTGGTTGTTGGGTCCAGATTTTCGACCAATCAGATCTCGGCTTGATGCCGGACCGGCATGCGTCCCGAACTTTTGGCCAATATTTTGCGGGGCAGGCTTCTCGGCCGTAGCAGCAGCTAACTGCGAGTGGTTAAGCGGAATCCGTGTGGAATTCCGCCTAACAGGTATTAAATGTTCGGAGTGATGCGCTTGAGTTTGCTGAAGGGATTACGTATCTCGACAGCTGCTTAGGCCAACAATGTGCTGCAACGGAAACTGTTAGTGCACGCGTTATTACAATGTGAACAACGGCGTGCATCACACTGCCACAATCTAAATCTCACTGAAGTCAAACGGCCCAGTATGTAAGGTAAGTTTCTGGTTGTGAAATATGACCATAACGGTGCGAATATCTTAGATGCCTTCGGACGTTTCGTCATCATTGACTTTCTCGTGATGGTGTGGTAGTTGGGCGTTAGTATTTACCAGTTCGGTACTTTCGATAGTGACTATTTCAACATACCTCCAATCGCCGGTAAAACAGCGATCAAGACGCGACAGACTTCGTGCAATTAAATTCTGTCCGAAATACATGCATCTTGTTGTCATAGTCTAGAAATTCGTGCGCTCGGAAGTAGCAACATTAGATTTGCTCTTCGGTGGACTACATCTACATGAAGACCTAAAAACGGTCAAGCCACATTGTCCCTTGGGAGGGCCTACTTCCAGCACATCACTAAAATAGCTTTCGTATCCCGACAGCATTCGAATAAAAGTATTATGGAGAAGCAACAATGTCCGAAAGTTCGCCGTATCTTTTCATTATATGCTTTACTGTATGCCAGTCGTGTTGACTGGAATTTCATCATGAATGACTTTGTTATGCAAACAAAACTGATCGACTTTTTTCCCCACAGAGTCTTTCGCGCCTCCCGATCGATTATCAAAATCTGTTCTGCTACCTCACGGCATTTCTTCGACGCTGCTTGGCACTTAGCGATAAAAATGGCACTGATGTACAATTACTGGGTATGTCCGTTTTTAAGTTTCACTTTGCCGTGACTTTTAATGCAACTTTCAGATAGATGTCTCCAAAATATAAAACAACTTTACCCGGTCCCAAAAATGGTTTTGCTTAGGATGGGCATTTTAGATGTCTATGACCTCGAAGTGTTTTCTAAACGGGTGAAAAATGTATATGTAGCCCAGCTTGTTTCGGTAATAATTTATTGAGTCAATCAGCCATGGGTCTTGAATAAATAATTCATTGGCATACGAATCAGTGTAAACTGAACTCGGTCGAGGGTCTAGTGAATCTGTGTAGACCCATTTGAACCTATATTCAAAACGGCGAATTATTTGTTCTCCATAAGACGGTAGTTGGGGATTTTTCCAATAAAAAATCAAGTACACAGAATACATGATAAAGATGTCGTTGGCATCTTTTGTGAACTGCCTGAAAATTATGGAGGCCACGGAGCCTGTCTTGTAGTGTGTGCTGACCACTAGGTCACCCTGAAATTCACCGAATACTAACGACGAAAGCACTCCTTGACGTTTTTTATGTTTTCTACTGCGAACCACGTGACTGAAGTCCCTCAATTACCTAATTTCAGGCAGACAGAGTTGGCGCTCATGCCCAGCCCTGTACTCTAGTGAACCTTAATATTCTAACTCTAGATCCCCCTGCTTGACACATTCTTATCTCTGAATCAACTGTCCGGAATAGTTTTGGTACAAACACGTTGTGCCATAGGACCAACCGACTGACGCACTAATTGTTCTTCATCCTAGTGTAATAAACGAGTTATCGACAGGCAAACGTCAGTGCACAAGCACTCGTGCTCAGAGCATAAAATTAGCTGTCACCAACCGCTTTTACTGAATTGCTCGGGAATGAAACTTGATGATCGGGCGCGGCAATCAGCAGAGCATACTTTTACTGTCACCCATGTATTGGAGGTACGCTGAATCCGATACCGTTTTCTTAATTTTAGCCTCCGCGTTCGGTGACGTCATTTTTCGTGACGCAGTTGTAAATCCCGCGCCAAGCGGACGAAAAAACACACGAACAACTGCGCTGGCTTCGCGACAAGAGAGCCCAGCTCTTTTTATTCGACAGTTCTTGACGAACGATGCATTCAGCTACTTCAGTCGTCTCCCGTGACGTATGGGCCCATGAACAGGCCGAACATTCCTTTCATCGTGAATGTCTCGTCACGACCACTGTGGCCACGGGTGAATGACCACCTGTTTGCGATAGCCTTGAGTTCTTTCATACCAATATTGTCGTTAACTATGCTCTCTAATCGCGCCTCATCCATCTCCTAGTTCCCAGTATGGTTTTTTTTTTACTTGACTTCATGTTTCACCTCATTCCTGTGCATGTTATGCAAGAGCAGCTAACTTTACGAGTGTTTTGTTTTACTTCTCGAGATTACATGACACCATATCGTTGATTGTAATCAAGCCTAGCTACCCACATCCGGACTGATTCAGGTTCATTCACTGTTTCTAGATGAAGCAGTTAATTAGGTTTTTTTAAATAATTTTTCACAAAACACGTAGTTTCGTCTCTTATACTATTTAACTGCATTCATCCAGATTTCTAAAAAGCTTGTCCAGCTATACCGACGTCTGTCTGTCTTCTAGTGTGCGATGCTGATCATAAAAATTTCAGTAAAAATAAATTTCAGGGATTTCTCCACTGGGAATTTCATCTAACTCTGGTTTGAGCGATGCTGAGGTCTCTACTGGAGACACGGCTCATTCTTTCGGCGGTTGCAGTCAACAAAACGTATTCATACTGCACTTCGACGGACTGAAAGTTACTTAGCCGAACTTGGCCTGTCTTTGGAACGGTGTGACAAAGTATGTGCATAGTCGCGTGCAAACACCTGTTTGTAGCCACGTGGGTTTCCTGTATTAGGATGCCGTAAATTCGTCAATCCCAATGTGGTGCACGGATTTACCTTGGGCACAAGACAGCTGCACAATCCTTAGTAGTATTTCTTTGCCGCACAGGAAATGCTGAAATCTGGCCATACTTTGCTGCAACCCAACTTCAGGTTCCTCTCCTGATGAGCTTGGATGTCTTAGCAATGAGGGCAACTAACGGGTTGATTTGTCTCAAACCGTATCAGCCCCTGAGTGAGCGAACTGACGTTCGGGACGAAATGAACCAACTCATTGAGCGAGTCACCTTTATCAATGGCAGCGTGCTCGAGATAGCTCCAGTGGTCAAAGCACAAACTTACAGACCGGAAGGTGCGTGGTTCGAACCCAACCCCAGCATCTCGATTCCTTCTGTCTGGGGTTGGGGGAATTTGTAGTATCTCAGCCCCTTCCTTCCTTCGGGTAGCATGGCCTTTAGGCACTATAAGGATGTTACAGCTGGACGATTATTTTTTGTTGTCAGTAACGATGGGCCACGGATTCTTGCTTCACAACGGTCAAATTTATTCCACCACTTGCAGACGCTTGGAAGAACAAGTCGATGTCCCTCATCTCGAACGGCTAGGACGTCTAAACAAAAGCACTCAGTTTTGGTACAGCGGCCTAACGGCGAGCGTTCGTATTCGATTGGCGATGCTGTGGTTATGTGCATCGCACAACTGCATACCTGCATTAAAAAACTGAAGCTTAATATAACGCTGGTTTTAATATACAGTCCCAACTAGTTCCAAACCACTTATCAAACCGTCCGTCAACTTAAGCTGACGGCTTAGCCTCATTCGTAATAACTGCAATAAGAATAAAATAGCTGTACAGTGCTTCTCAGCTCTGGCATAGACTAGCTTCACTACAATACTTGAAATACTCGATTCTCGGAGGCTCGCACCAACGTACGCACAGACTTATTCTACCTTGCATGTACTATTTATTTAGTCTAGTCTTCATAGTGGTAAAATGCACTGGCGCTTTTCTGCCTGGTGATCCTTAGGGGCGCGAGCAACACTAACTTCGTTGCAATATCGTGCTGTACTCACACATCCGTACGTAGTGGCAATCACAGTGACATTACTACTGATTCGGTTGACATCTCGAAGACCTGTTATTATGATGTCCCGGGGCAAACATTTTTGGCATCATCGCGCAACCAACAACAGTCTGTATTCAGCCAACGTTAACTTGCCGGCATCGGAAACGAAGGGTCAAACACAATGACAGCAGGACCAGCTAGGATCCTGAAATAACAGCACAAAGAAAACGCTATGCCACTGTGCGATGGACCGCCTAAAGTCTTAGTTTGGTCTCAATCCAGTTCGTTGTCTCGGGTCACCTGTTTGGCAAATATTTATCATGTAGATAGGATGAAGTATGATGTTAGTGAAAAAACGCAACGTTAGGAGTAAATTCGAACAACGGATCTGCAGGATGAGACCTTGAGCTCCTCTCGAGGGAACTGACTCGTCGTTGTTGGGATATTTTTGTTGGGGTTGTAGCAAGTACGGTTATTCGGACACCTATTCACGTAAAGGAACAAATTTTTTCTGAGTTGAAGTTTGAAGCCGACTACGTTCTACAGGTAGCAATGGTTATCAAAGCAAACTTGGATAAAAAGACGCAAGCAGTGAGCAGTGATGTAAAAGTTTTATATTTATGACGTCGGGTCAGCATCATTCCACTTTACTAGTTGACTCGTGGATATCAATCCCTTTAATCTTCCTCTTCATAAGCTTCGGCTTTTGGTTGACTACCACGTAATGGTAGAGAATAACCAGGATGAAAAGGATGGCCCCGGTGACATTAGCAAAAACTGTTAATTGAGTATCTGTGATCATTTTCTATGTGACCACCTTTATTATCGATCAGAGTAGGGAAGCTAAAACGGAAAACAAATCAATGAAGCCTAAATCAAGGAAAGCAATTTCAATTTGGCGTGAAATTTTTGTCTGTCAAAGTATTCAGTTTACAAGTACACAAACATAAGCAGCTAGTAAACAGCCTTCTGCTGGACAAAGGTCAAGAGTAATTACACATCCAAATCTTAGTATGACCAGTCGTGTGAAAGTCAGTCCGGATACGATAGGACGCACTGACCGGCGTACCCGAAAAGTAGATCGCGATATACTCGGATCTGACCAGTGTTCGAGTCGCGCGGCCGGACCGAGGCGTAGTAAGCGTGTTTCAGGGACATGCTACAACTGACAGAAGCGAAACCGCGATGGAGGCGGGTGGTGTATGCCATCCAACTCGACAGTGAAGGCTGTAATTTGAAAACGGTCTTAGGCATTTGGAGGCGGGGCGGTGCCTGTTTATTGTGCCGGGCAGAATTTTAGAAATATGAAACAGGGACCCTAGCTGGAACAGTTGTGGGAAGGGTGGTGGACATAGAGTTGCAAGTGTGAGTAACACCTCCTGGTTACTTAGGTTGAGAACGGTTTGACGGGAGACCTTGCCTCGGGTTTCGGACCCAAATATCCGAGCCCAAAGGTACTAGGAAGATGAAGGTTTAATCTGGGAGCTTCGCCTGTAGACCTTGATTTAACTGGCTGACTTGTGAAGCAGCATGCCACCGGTTAGGTAACCTATCCCAGTTAGCTCAGGGGAGTTGAAGTTGTCTGAAAGTGCAAGAATTAATATGTACAAGCGTGGCTCCTGGTGCTGCTCGGACATGCTGTCGCGACCGCGACCGACTTATCCGCTGCTCAGGCGAATCAGACTCATTACTTACGTTATGTACTACAGAAGTCGTTGCAACTCTTATGTCGGTCCTTGGCTTCCTGTTCTTGCCCACTATGGTACATCAAGAAGCATGGTAGCTTACGACAGCCTCTTATGGAAAGAAGGGAAAGTTGCTACAACCGTATTTATGAGTTTGTCGCGGGACTTTCCACAAAGTCACGCCGATCCTAATGGACCCGCATTCTGACCAGCCGGTGCATGCGTTCGCATGGTCCGTAGCCGGCTCACCATAAAACCGTCCACTCGATGTGCTTTTCGGTCACTTAGAATGGCCCGTCTTCTTACACCCCCTTGAGGCCTTTGTTCGTCCAACCGCTGCTTTGATTTGACATGTGACGCCGCATTTGTACATCAGTTCGTCCCTAGGGCGATAAGAACGCTGGACTAGGGTACGATGCGGATGGTTCTGGGTGTGCCCTCCAATTCAGAGGTATATCATTGTTGCCCAGTGTTTCATGTGGTGGTTCTACAGTAGGACCTCAGTCTGCTGCCTGACTTGGATTCTCTTTAATCAGTCAATACCGGGGTCTGCCTTGAACGTAGTGCTTGACACAGTATTCGACCTAGCGCCCACCGTTGACAACGTTAAGCATATCCTCGAATCGACGACAGGCCTTTCCAGACCTAAGGCTCTCATCTTTTTGTGGGAGTTCGGTTTCTGTGCTGCAACGATCCTGGCTGGAATTCACCTCCGGGTGAGCAGCCCGACAAAGGACAGCAAGTCTCCGTGAGAAATCGTACTACGACAGAGCCTGGACGTAAAGTTACACTGTCTTCTGCAAAAGGAGTATGGAAGTATTGGAATGTTTCCTTTAGGCGACCAGCACATCCATGCTATGCTATGCCACCCGAAGGAAACATGAGGGCCGGGATACTGCCATGTTGCCCAAACCTGGACAAGGGAAGTCGAGAGGCAAAGGTCGCGTTCGAACCACGGACCTTCCGGTCAGTAAATTCGCGCTCTAACTGCCATCTCGCCCCTGGTTTAGAAAAAATCGGCCTTGAAAACCGCAAACTCCAACCGCCCAATGGTTGCCGTGACCGCTGGCGCATTGTTCACGGTTGAAATAATTTTAAAGCCAGAGTCTAGTGTAGCTTAAAACGCACCTGTTGTGCGCAGTCGCATTGGGATTCAGACTAGGGCGGCACCCCGCAACCGAGTAGTTCAGACTATTGAGTCATTAGCTCCGGAAAGGGGCGGGATGGTTCAAGTGGTTAGAGCGCGAATTTACCGACCAGTCCGAACCCAACCTGTCTCTCGACTTCCCCTGTCTAGACCTGGGCAACCTGGCAGTATCCCAGTCCTCGTGCAACCTTCGGGTGGCATGACAGTTAGGCACCGGAAGGGTGCTACAGCTGAACGATTTTTTTTAAAACTCATTGCGACTTTCTTTCGAAATAGACACCACAATAGACTCATTTCAGTTCGGATGTTCTCCTTCTCCCAGACGAAGGCAGACAAGTTAGATAGACACCGACAGGATTTCAACCTCATATCTGAACAGAGTGGCCGGGAGTTCATTAGGACCAGAAGCTCGGTTCATCATCATTGTCAGCTGTAAGAACCGCGTACTTGTCGTACAATGGTTGTAGCTGCCACAGTTTCGTTCACCGATGATCTGGGGGGTGGGGTAGGTAGCTGCGCACTGGAGGCGTAAATACGGCACCGTCAGTGGACTGTTAAGTGGGGGGATTGGGAAGGGGACTATGCATTGAAGGCATTGAGGGCGCGACTGGGTCATGTCCGACAATGTCTCTAATCATTGATGTGGCCTGTCTCGGAGTTGCCATCCAAGAATACGGCAACGATCAGCGCAGCTGAGTTTGTTGGTAATAGCTTTTATACTTCGGTGCTAGGTCATTGTTTGACCGCCCCTGGTTCGTTTCCACCCTTCACTTGGTTGTGCAAAAAGAACCCTTCGAGCGACTGGTATACGCAACACGTGGCCAAGCCAGCGCAACCTATTCAGTGTGATTAGTTCATCTATCGAGGATGTTATTTCTTCTGAATACCATGCGACGTACTTCAGCACTGTTTGTCCGGCGTTAATACGAGAC